CTTGTTTTTACTTATCGCATCCCTCCGACCGTGTTGTGCCATCGGGCTGAGTTGGGCGAGTTTGCTTGCGATGACTCTTCCGGGGATATTGTTGCCTACGAGGAGATGCTTGAGGCTGGGTTAAGATTTCCCATGTCCTCCCCCATTTGTCGTGTTTTGCATTACTTTTCCTTGACTCCGGGGCGACTAGCGCCCAACGGTTGGAGAGTCCTGCTCGGTTTTCTTGCCTTATGGAGAAAGGTGCACCACGAGGATGCTTCCCCTATGGAGTTTCATGCAGCATATAATTTGAGCGAAACCCCTACACCAAATAGGGGATGGTATTATTTTACCGCGCGGAGTGGTACAGTGCTTACAGGAATGCGCTCTAATTGCGGCGGCTGGAAATCTTGTTTCTTCTTTATTGGTGGAGAATGGGCTTCAGAAGCCGACAGAGTTTCGGTGCCAACACATTGGGGTGCTGCTAAAAAACCCGGTATGCTGCACACCTCTTCTTTTTCCCTTTTTTTTTTTTGCGTGTGTGCTCACTTTTTCCATGCAGATATACCTGTGCTTTCCCGGGACCAGGAGTAGAAATTGGAGGCTGTCAAAGCTTTCCCTTGTAAAGATTTGGGAGTTCTCCTGCCCAAGTATACTAGAGCTGTTGCTCCATCTCAGAAATCTGGCGGCTCCTCTTCGAAGAAAAGGGGTGAGCTAGTTTCTTTTCTTTTTTTTTTTTTTATCTAACCCTTCTCTACTCTTGCAGCAAGTAAGAGGGTGGTGGTGTCCCGTTTTTCTAGCAGGAGCCCTCCTTCTTCCAAAGTGACAAGGACGGATGATGCCCCCCATGTGGCTTCCACGGTGGCTCCTTCTCAACTGGCAACTTCTCTAACTGCTGCTCCAGAATCTTCCTTGCTGGGCACATCTGTTCCACCTTTATCCTCTCCTCGTGCTACNGTCCTGGACAGCCCAGGTGCGCTGGGCAACAGCCTAGCTGCTGCTTCTGCTGTCCCGAACAGCTTCAGATCTGCTGCGCTGGGCGGCTTTGGAACACTGTNCCATGTGGCTTCCACGGTGGCTCCTTCTCAACTGGCAACTTCTCTAACTGCTGCTCCAGAATCTTCCTTGCTGGGCACATCTGTTCCACCTTTATCCTCTCCTCGTGCTACCCCTCCTTTGTCTCCTCCTTGTTCAGGAACTTCTACCCAAGTGCCGATTTGGGTTGGTTCTATGATGGGGAGACCGGCAGCTATCAGGGCAAGGCTTGGGAGGTTTGTGTTTGGGCCAGAAGTTTCTGAGCTTAGCGCTTCAGGCACTGACAATATCGTTAACACGTATTTGGATGGTCTGGCTCAGGTAAGGGTCTGCTATTTCCCTTTCTCCAGTCGTTTCCTGTGTTTTTGACTCCTTTTTTTTTTAGGTTTCGACTTCCTCCATCTGCTTGCTTTCGAGGGCCTATAATCAAGACAAGCTGAAGCTGGATCTTAGCCTTGTGCAGAGGGAGCTTATTACCGCTCAGGAGAGGATTGTCGAGCTTGATTCTGAGCTTTTGGTGACCCGTGAGAGGGACGTGCTCCGGGAGGGTGAGCTTGTGGCAGCACATGAAAGGTTTTCTAATTTAGAGTCTGAGCTTCTGGCGGCCCGCGAGAGGGACGCGCTCAGGGATGGTGAGCTTGCTGCAGCCCATGAGAGGGCCACTAAGCTAGAGGCTGAGCTTTTGGCAGTCCACGAGAGGAGCGCGCTCAGGGATGGTGAGCTTGTTGCAGCCTATGAGAGGGCCACTAAGCTAGAGGCTGAGCTTTTGGCAGTCCGCGAGAGGAGCACGCTCAGAGAGGCTGAGCTTGTAGAGGCCCATGGGAGGGCCATGCTCAGAGAGGCAGCTGTTGCAGAGGCAAAGCTGACGGCTGCTAGGGAGAGAGTTTCCCGTGC